GACGCGTGAATAAGATGAACGTGGTGAATAGTTATTATAGGCGGATTTTAACTTAGGAGCTTCGAGATGGGAGCGGGGCGGAAGGGTCCCGCGGCGCGGGGTATCTGCGGGGAGGGGGAAACCGCTAAGGTGATTTTCCGGCCTAACCGTAGGTGCGGGGGTCGCGGGGAAGAGGGAACTGCGTCGTAGGTGCGGGATTTGCGGGTTCGCGGGAAATCACGTCGTAGGTGCGAGGGGTCGCGGGGAAGAAGGAACCGCGTCGTAGGTACAGGATTTGCGGGGTCGCGGGGAACCGCGTCGTATGTGCAGGGAATTGCGGGGAGGAGGGCTACCGCGTCGCGGAAGAGGTGTCCGAGGTGATGTCTGCGCTTGTCGCCGCGCTCGCGGGCCCGCCGCGATTGCCCGCAGTATCTCCGACCCGTTGCACTCGCGCGATAGTTATGATTTTGGACAAGGAATAGTAGAAAAAATTTTATGATTAATATGTGAATTATTTATTCTTATATGTAAATTGAAAAAAATAATAATAATAATAATTCTAATAATAAAAAAAATTCCAAATTTGCCATCTGCAGCAGACAAAAGAGGAGAGTATTTAAAATGAGCAAAAGAGAGGAAGAAAGGAGGATAGAAAAATTATTACTGTCTATTTACGTTAATTGTAGAAAGCAACCGTCCTCCTGCCGGTGGATACGTCGAAGATTACGCGCAATTGTGCCTCCTCTTGCATCCTTGTCTTCTCCCGCGGACTTTCCTCCTCGTGCGGACTCCCGGACACCGCGAATTCCGAGGTTCTAGCTCTTGCGCCGCTGTCCCCTGGCGCCGCGAGAGGATCGGTATCATCACCGCGACCGTCGTCGTCGTCGTCGTAGTTGTCGTCCTCATCGTCGTCAACGTCGTCATCGTTTGTGTCGTTTTCGCCGGAGAAGTCATCATCGCTACTGAGAATGTAGCTCTGAAAGAAAAGCAAATAACATCTTTCTCCGGATAAATAGCTAAACTCTTTGTACTTACCAGGATTTTTCGGCGCTCCTCCGCCTCCATTCTCCGGGGTAGGTCAGGCAGCCACCAGTCGTTCGCCTCTTTCTAATCTATCATCAGGCACTCCCAAATTCTTGTCGTGAATACGCTTCCCGATTTACTTGTGTGTGCACAAAGCAATGTAAATCCTCGTCAAATTTGTTGTGGTCACGTAATACCGTTCTCCAACCAATTTCGCGTTCGCGTATAAGTTTTGCCAGCGGTGGCATACACTGTTCACGCTCCAGTACATGATGGACTGACACGGAGCACTAAAACTCAACATGTAGCCCGATATTTTTGTATTTGAGAAAGATAAAAATCAAATGTGCTAGCATTCAGACACATGTTACAATTAGTTCTACTTCTGTACATCTGTACATCTCAATATGCAAGCATTTAAAGCGTGAATTTTTTTAGAAATCAAACATGCGTCATTTAACATAATTATTAAACGTCGCCAAATTAAATTTTCTATGAAAATAAGCTTTTTCGACAAATTATGAGAATATAAATCGCGGTACGAGAGATTCAGATATTCTATACCTATATAATAAAATGTAGGATGTATTCTTTTCTCCAGATGAGAAATTTTTTAAGCTTGCAATTTAACTTAAGCAGTTAAGATCTTATAGAAAATATATCGAGATATCTTATAGAAAAATATAGCGAGATTGATCTGACAATGACAAGTTTCACAAAATTGTCACGCTTCTGCGCGGCGAAGAGATTAGAGATTGGGAAAATTTACTGTAGGATTAGAACTTACCGCTTGTTCCAAGTACACGATCCCCTTAACAGGCTCTCCCTAATGGACACAGACTGCTTGATCGTCATTTCATTGAAAACCGTTGGACGGTCGGTAGGAACCAGGAAGAGACCCTTAACAATGGATCCGAATTCAAGATTTCCGTAAAATCGATCGCGTCAAGATTGTCCGCACCGCGCAAGGATAAAAGTTCTTATCCGGATACGAAGATTTCCGATCGCCTAACGTGAGGATCATTGAGCGTTGAACAGAAGATTTCCGCTTTCGACACGAAAAAGTCAGTGCGTTTTCGCTAGCAAAATGAATGATCTTCTAGTCCAGCAGCAAGTGGCAATGAGGATCGTGAAACGCGCCCTCGATAATTTCAAGAAGGTCGGTCGCGCGAATTTCACCTGCGGTGGTGTCCGTAATCGCCTTCTAAATCTCAATTTTGCTTACGCTCGCTGCGAGCAACTTCACGCACAACTCATAAGTGTAGCAGCTCTGGAAGGTCGCGAGGCGGAAGAATATTTCTCAGAAAATCGATTCGAGAAGATAAAGGATATCTACTACACTTCCTCGGACTATATGGCGAACGTCTTTACCGAACTCGAGCCACCTCCGTCGAGTCCTTTTTTTTTTTTTATTTATGAAGGTGGTAAAAATCTTCAAAAGACCCCCTGCGCCTGATACAGGGGAGTGCAGGATTCGACCGGTCGTGACTTGACGGTCTCAGTCAGCCTTTGGGCCGGCTGAAGTTGCTGGCCTTACCGATCGCCTACCTGCTAAAAATCCACCTAGAAAGCCCTCGCGATTTAAGAGAGGGGCCCCGGGACTATCGGAGAGTATTGCTTCAGGGCCTCCTCCAAGAACATTGGGCAGAGCCCACTACTCAGGATCCTGGGGCCTAGGCCCCATGATTTTACAGGCTTCCGCCAGAAAAGAGAAGAACACGACACACCATGATGGATAGCGAAAAACTGCCAATGCAGTCTCTCTACTATCTTTCTTATTCCTTTTGCGAATCCTCAAAGAGAGCTTCTTACGCCTGAGCCTCCGCTTTTCTAGCCCTTTCCGCGTCCTCTTTCCTCTTCATTACCGCTTCGCAGTAGCTCCCAAACGCAGTCCACTTGTCCGATGATTCGAGCATCGCCCTCACGATCGACTCCAGAGATAAGTCCGGACCCACCGCCTCTACCAACGCCTGGCGTTCTGCTGTCCATGCCGGGCACTCGCCAAGTGTGTGGTTATTTGTGTCGCAAGGGTTTTCGCAGAAAGAACAGTCCCCACTAGGGGCCCTACGTATTCGGTGCAAGAAGTCGTTGAAACACCCATGGCCAGTGATCATCTGTGTCATCCTATACGTCAGATGGCCATGCGCGCGCTTGTACCATTGAGACAGATTTGGTACCAGAGCCCTCCTAACTTCAACCGCCGTTGTATTTGGCTGACTATATTCGTCTTTCCATTTAGTCAGGGCCACATCCAATGCCCTTTCCCGTATAGTGTCGTGCATGCGTTGTGTAATCCGTATCTCCTCGGCTTGAATTGCTTGCGTGTCCATATACACATCCCTATATCTATCCGCTAAATAGTCAACCGGGATAACCCTAGCTAGTAGAAACGCCGCTGTGTAAGACACTGTCTTGTACGCCGCCACTACACGTATCGCGATTTTTCTCTGCACAGCTCGAATAGCCAACTTAGTTCTCTTATCTTTTAGCAGTGTGGGAGCCCAAATTGGTGCTCCGTAAAAGATAACTGAGTGGATCACCTCGCAATACAATTTCCTCGCGTGTTCGTTTGGGCCTCTCAGGTTGGGCATTATTCTTGTTAAAGCTAGCGTCATTCTCTCTGCCTTTGGAAGCAGACGCTTAAAATGTTCCCGGAACGACCATTTCCTGCTTAGCACTAACCCTAAATATTTCATTTCAGCGTTTACTGGGATCAGAGAGCCCTTAACTACGATAGCCTCCTCTTGCAACACTCTGTGCCCTCGGGAGAAAGCGCATACCTCTGTCTTTTGAGGCGAGATACTTAAACCTAGCTTCTCTATTTGCCTGATCACGACTGCGACTGCGTACTCCGCTCGGGCAATAGCTTCCCTAATATTATCCCCCATCGCAACTATAAGGGTGTCGTCCGCATAGCAGATAATACTGCAATCACCCGGGAGTTCCTGCTGCAGTACTTCATCGTACGTAAGATTCCAACCTTCCGGGCCAAAGGCGGATCCCTGGGGGACTCCACAAGTCATCTGGATTTTTCTGACTTTCCCCTTGCTGTCCACGAAGTTAATCCATCTATTCGACAAGTAACTGCTCACAGTGACCCTGAGATAATTTGGGATCTCCTTTGCCACCAGGGCTTCCCGAATTCTTTCCCACACCAGGGAGTTGAAGGCGTTCGTGATATCGAGAGATACCGCCACGGCGAAGCGGCCCTCTCCATACACCGGTTCCAATATCTCTCTTAGGCGAAGGACGGCATCAATCGTAGACCTTCTAGTGCGGAAACCGAACTGGTGAGTAGACAAACCCACCCCTTCCTCCAGACATGCCCGAATTCTTTTTACTAAGATCCGCTCAAATAACTTCCCTATCTCATTTAGGAGGCAGATTGGTCTGTATGAAGATGGCACAAGGTCCGGCTTCCCTGGTTTCTTGAGGAGGACGAGCCGCGCAGTCTTCCAACAGGATGGGAATGTCCCCTCTCTAAGACATGCAGTAAAGCATGCCGCTATCCTCTCGGCACAAACAGGTACAGCCACCTTAAGAGCCTCGCCTAGTATACCATCCGGGCCAGGGCCGGCGCTTTCTTGGATCCTAATTTGGATGCAGCCAGTTCCACCTCATGTCTACTAACCGCAAAATCTTTATCCCACTGGACTGCTTCTCTTGGTCTAGCGGCCAACTCCTCATTTCTGTCGGGGAAGAGTCCTTTTACAATCTTGAGTACCTTCTCCAACGGTAGTGTCTCGCATATCGGGCGACTAGCGGGCTTCATCCTGTCCATTACAATTTTATAAGGGCGACCCCATGGATCCCTGTCTATCGTGGCCAATAATTCCTGCCAGGCCGAGCTTTTTGCTTTTTTTATCGCTGATCTCAGGGCCTTGCGTGTTTGGGACAACTCAACCTCTAACGCCGACGCCAGTCCGCGTTGCCTCCTATGTTCTCGTATAACTTTTCTTCTTAAGGCGATGCATTTTCTTCTAAGGTGCGCGATGTTGTCACCAATACACAGCCTTCTTCCCTTTGCTCTTGAAACGCCGCATGGCTGCATCGGAAGCTAGGGACATTGCATCTTGTAGCTGTGCCGCCAGATCCTCAGCACTGGTGTTTTCCGTCTGCCTGGGCCAGAAGTATGTCGCAATGCTGGCTTGGAGTCGGTCCGCATTCAGGCTTTTCCTGTTCCATTTTGGAAAACTGCTTAATTCCGTTCCGCGTTCCCACGGTTTCTGGCCGCCGATTTGCATGAGTATATATCTGTGGTCGGAGAGTGTCTCCGCCTCCGCCATCACTTCCCACGATTTCACCATACTAAGAGCCGCGGGAGAGGCCCACGAAAGATCCACCACTGACCTGCCTTGTGGTCTTACGCAGGTCGGCACTAAATTATTGTTTAACAGTCTCAGATCTCGGGTCGAGGCCCATGTGAGTATCGTCTCTCCCCGACTGGTCGGACGCGTATTATCCCATATATGTGAACGAGCGTTAAAGTCCCCTACCACTAAGAGCGCCTTATTGGTATAATCCGCTACCGCATCCCCTAGCGCGACCAAGAACATCCTAAACTGGTTGATGCTCTTATTCGGCGAGAAGTAGCAGGAGACCACGATAAGTCCCTCCCAAGAGACCGCCACGAACCCCTCGCCCTGAGTTACGACGGAAACGGTTTCCGGAGGTGTACGACCCGACCACGTCACCGCAGCCATGGGGGTCTGCTCGGAAGATCTCGCCCATCTAGGGTCGTTAGGGACTCGATGCGGTTCAGACACGCAAGCCAGTCCGCAATCCAGATCCAACATAGTTTGCGAGAGTAGATCTTGGGCCCTTGGAGATCTATTTAGATTTATTTGGATGATTCTTTTAGTCATTTAAGCTATCTTCGGATTAATGGCCTTATTGCTCCGATTGGCCCTGGTTTCGTCTCGCCTAGGGCTTCGCTGCTGATCCCTTCTTGGTGGGCACGGGGGGCAAACATCCGATCCCGCTCTGTGGTTGTGACTCATCCCCTTATCTCTACATATCGGGCAGCTCGGAGACCTGCCGCATTCCCTCGCGGTGTGTCCTTTTTCTCCGCAGTTGAAACAGCTGTCAGTCCTATCTGTTTCGCTGGGGCAATTGTCCCGGACATGTCCTACCGCCATACATCTATAACATTGCAGGGGTCTTCTCCTCAGAAGCACCACACTTGCCGTAGACCACCCTACGCGAAGACCACCCTGCTCCGCCAGTTCGATCGCGGTTTCTAAAGGACACTGCAGCCACACGGTCCTCAAGCCGTTCCTGGCAAGTCTAAAAGAACCAACCCTGATGTTTTCTACTCCGCACTTTCCAGTCTCGGCGATCGCCAGCTTTAACTCCTCCAGGGTAACTGACGCATCAAGACCCGCCAATCTGAGCTCCCCTCTCAGCCTGGGTCTTCTAATCTGTACTTCGGTCTCGCGAAAGGCGTCCCTGAGCTTTTTCGCCAGAGTGTCAGCCGCCTGCGAAGTGTCTTGTCCAGGTATCTCTAGCAGGACTCCCCCTGAAACTGTGTTTCGCATCCTCGTTTCTTGGATGCCCAAATCCTCCAATACGATCTCATCGCGTGCTTTGCGGATAATTTCCGCGTACGACAGCCCACCTCCCGGGCATGAGATTGTTATCGCCGACGAGCGAGGTACCCGTTTGCGAGGTATCCTTTCGTTCTTCTTGATCTCCGCCCTTGCCCTCGGTCTATCAGTCGGATACTCTTCGCTTGCCGGTCTTTGCGCTTCTCCCAATGGTACACGGATGTCCGCTCTCCTATCTCTCGCCCCGGTTAATGGGGGGTCCTCCCTCAGATCCCTTGGTTCCTCTTCTGTGTTCCTCCCTTCGTCTGTCAGGTATCTGGGTGTCGCTTTGCGTGTCTTTCGCGTACGCTTTTTACTCCCTTTTCTGCCAGCCGGTTCCACCTGTGGGGGGTCGCTCTTCTCTGTCTCTTGGACCTGAGATGCCGCCTTCTCTGGTGGCTCGCTCTCTTCTCCGCCCCGCTGAAGCCGGTCTTGGATCCTTGAACAGCAGTGCCCTTCACGCATCCCATTTCCAAGGGCTCCCCATGCCAGCATTTGAGTCCTCATGGCGTTTGCTACCGAACTACTAATGGTGTCACTCAGTTTTTCGAAGAAGTCCACATCTATCACCCTTTCCTGTCTTTTTGAGGAAGTCCGTACTGCCCTCCTGTTTAGTGACAAGCGGTTGGCTTCTGAGCGCGTTCGTGAGACCTCTTCCATGCTGATATCCATTTCAATCCCCCGGGGGGGGCTCCAACGATACGGCCGGCGTGACGGAGGAGCATCCTGGCTCAGACTCCATTCTGTCATCCGGACCTCTCGTCGCAGGAAGCCCGCACCTCAGCTCCTCCATTTGCAGTTTTAGTCTAACATTTTCTTCCCTGAGACCATTCATCTCCTTCTGTATATCCAGCAGTCTAGTTCGAAGATAACCAATATCACCCTCTTGTGTCGCTCTCATCGCCAGGACCCTTACTATCTCAGTTACAGTGCCAATGTTCACCTTCATCTTCCTTGTTAACGGACCGTTTATATTTTTCGACTTGTTCCGACATTCCTCTGTTTCCCTGAGCCACTCTACTGCTGCGACCGCCATGTCCGATGATGAGAGGTGCTCCATGTCTTCCAATCTAAGTTCCACTGCTTTTCTTTGAGAATCGGAGAAGTTACTCCTTGGGGTCTCGTAGATCTCCTCCCTTTCAAGCTCCGGAGAGCTAAAGACACTTAATTTCCTCTTCTTCTTTCCCGTCTTCACAGCGTGAGGTCTTATTACAGATGATCCCGATGACGTCGAGCCCCTTCTCGAGCTCGTTCCCTCTTCTACCGAGGCAATTTCTGGATCTCCATCTCCAGGGGTGACGGGTCTAGGCACTTGGATTTGGGTGGACACATACTCCACATCCCCCTCACCTGTTGCCTGTGCGGCAGCTTTTTTTGATCTAGTAGACCTTTCCACGGGATCCTTTGGCGCAGCTACTTCTTCCTCCTGTTGTGTCTCCGCGGGTGGCTGGGGGGTTTCGCCGTTTGTACCCGGCCTCAGACCACACCTCGCTGGATCCACTTGCGCTTTCTCTCTCTTGGCGATCATATTTTTGGGCAAGGGCCTCGCCATAACCCCTGCTCCACTCCCAGCGCATGTTGTCGACACGGGGGGAGAGGGACAAGATTCCCCCGCGCGCCGTTCCCCAGGGCTCCGATTTCCTGGAGGGGTTTTGTCCTTTTTTGTTGTACTATCCATAATTATTTAGAATTTGATTAATACTCCACTGAAGTTAATGATCCACTACAGGCCCCTTCCTCCGCAGAAACAGCGTTGTACGCCCGCAGGGGCGTAGCACTGCAGGGGACAGGTGCCTGTCGACGGTGCTAATCGCCACTGCACTTGGGCTTCACAATCGCAAGGGGCCGGAGGAGGAGCCAAGCTCTACTCAACTCAACGGTTCCTGGGCAAAGGAGCACCTATTCACCGCAAGGTAAGACGCACTCGCGACCCTACACTCTGATAAGTTTCCCTTAATATTAACTTAATCGCTAATCAATTAACGCGTAATAATAATGATGATAACGCTAAACTCTAGCATATCAAACCGAACAAATACTTATCAACTATTAACAACAATGATGATAACGCTATGTGTAAGTAACTAAATTATAATGACGCAAAACTATTAATGTTTGTTATATATGCTTTAAGATCGTCGATAGCTCTACAGATAAATATATGCTCTTGCAGGTATCAACTGTCCTCCGTCCTCGCTTAATCCGCCTTTATGTTTTACGCCCGGAGTCAACGGAAGCTCGACTTTATTTAAATAATATCACCCTCCTTCTATATAAGCCCATCGGTCAAAATATCAATCACCGCGGTAATGAGAAGGTGGTAGTAACAATAACCCTCGTGCTAAACTGGCTATACTGCCGCCACCCGCAATCGCAATTCTAATTATCTTGTACTATACTAAATATATCGTCGTCCGCGAATAGCACTCTGCGGCGCGAGTCATCTGCACGCCACATGTGTTCTCTCTCTTTCTCCCCACAGGATGACACAGCAACAACTCCTACCTCTAATGCGAGAGACCAGTGAAGTACTCTCGCATCTAATCACCCCCCGAGCACGTGGCGCGCACGCACTCGACGAATGTATGTCCCATAGGATTCGAACACACTATCGGGGTTTTCCTGCGCTTCGCGACCACATGGCCATCTTATATCACACGTTATCCGACCCGCATATATGTTCGGTTAATATTCCTATGCAAAGTCGGAGGACCGTCAAAGATAATGCCAAACCGCCCCTGTGTAATGCACCGAAGCGTACAAAATGCCGAAAATTTACAATAAACTCCGGGAGGGGTATTTCCGCCCCTATCAGCACGACATGCCCGGTGTGGAAACGACAGCCATGATGGCACCCTCGGCCCCGGCGCATGTGCCCGTCACCAAATTAGCGATTATCTAAAGTATTTTTGACGATCGCAACACGAAACGCACGTCACTCGACTCGGGATCGAAAACTGCACACAATAGAAGCACATTTATCGCACTACACTCGCTTCTACCACACGATCGTGTACGGAGACTACGGAGCGGCACAGAGGCACGTCCATACCCCTCGACGTCCACGAGAGCTCTCCACCTCCGTCGAGTCCTGGCTTGTCCGTCAGCCAGGACTCGTCAACCCCATCGTCAACTTCGGTCAAGATAAGTAACAACTTACCGCGGTAAGTCTGCCAAAATTCTTCGGCGATTTAAGCAAATGGGAGTCTTTTCGGGATCAATTTCGCGCAATCGTTATTGACAGTAACGATCTCTCGAATGTATCGCGGATGCATTATCTTAGCTCGTGCTTAAAGGACGAAGTGCGTAACGTGTTACGATCGTTGTCCATATAGCCGGTTCTACATTAGTTGCAAGCAGCCAATCGCATAGTCGCAAGGAGTACCTACTTCCGGTCGTAACGTGTCGCAAGCAGCAATCGCAAGGTTTGGCCAAAACCAAAACTTGCGTCTCTGCGATCTTGCGACAACCAATGAGTATCGAGCTCCCCTCTATTTGGCTTATTCGTTCGTTAAGTTGTTTTGTGTTCTATTATAACCTATCTGTTTATAACCTATCTGTGATAATAACGTACGTGCTAAATAAGTTAGTGATAGATTCAATATTTTATTATAATAATGAGTGATTTAGATTATTTAGAATACAATGATGAAAATGATTTTCTGGATGCAAATGTTGAAAATAATAAAGATGATTTTCTGGATGCGAATGTCTAGAATGATAAAGACAACGTGGATGAAGTACATCGAGAGCTTATAAGACTCGTAAAAATTAATCCGGGACTGTGAGATAAGAAGTCCAAAACATACAGTAATGTTATACAAAAAGATATGGCCTGGGAATCTGTAGCATCTCTTTTGCCAGTTAAAATGACAGGTAAAAATGAAAACTTTATAATAAGAAAATTCAATATATAAATTTTAATTGTTAATTCAAGTTAACTTAAGTTATTGATAATGATATTGTTAAAATATAAACTGCAAATTGTTTAGGGACTGAAGCAGCAAAAAGGTTCCGCGCACTGCGAACAATATTTGGTCGCCACTTTAAAAAAGTAAAACAGTCTCAACCTAGATCTGGTGCCGGATCAAACTGGCCCATTTATCAGCCGCCTTGGCCGCTTTATGAAGAACTACTTTTTTGGCTGATGTTATAAAACCACGCAAGTAAATATACTTATGTTATATTAATTTAAAAATTATTTTTGGTAACTACCTTAAATTATTACAAATTCTTTTTATTTTCAGTACAAAATCAAACATATCTGTGAAGTCTGCAGA